CTTGTACAAACTACAAGAATATTTCTTGTTGGCATTGTTGGGAAGTAAAACTGACAACATGAATCATAGAGACAAAGAGCAAAAACAGCACACAGTTGACATATTGATTGTTACTGCTTCTGCGTGCAGGGACTTCATCAATTCTCATGGCTACTCCCCTCTCTAGTTAAGGCTGTATCCTGCTATAGAATGGGGCAGTGATGATGTTATAGGCCCTCACCAGCCTAATGGACATCAGAATGCCACTGAGCGGAACTTGGAGTATGGAGCGCCAAACATCCTGAAAGGGCAGAAGGATGTTTACAGAATAGCATGCACAACATCTCTGCAGGGACAGTGGGAGTTAAGCAAAGGCCGAGCTCTGGCACTGGGCGAGAAGACAACAGCTGTTATGCATAGGCTGTTTTTTTTCCAGGTATGTTTCTTCATGCTGGCGGATGTAATAGGTGATGTCAGCTCTTGTGCAAAGTGTACATGACTAACCACTTCTGTGAAACCCTCTGAGGCACTACAGATAATAGTGGACCACCCACAGTTTGCACTGTTTTGTGGTTGGATGAAGTTGACCCAAACAGACCAATAATCAAGTGTTATGCCTCTGTATATATAAGATTTTTTATTAGTTATGTTCAGGGTTTTTGGTTTTGCAGGCCATCATTTATTTATTATTTGGACTCACACTGCTGCTGATGTAAGATTACATCTGTGCAGCAGTAGGAGGGAAAAGTTATTGGTGACATTTTGATTACCATTAGCTTATGTTTAACCGCGACTGCTTTAGTTGAGTGTTGACGTGATATATAACCTGAGATGTTCGTATATATCAAATAGTCTTTGACGAGTGCCGTAAAAAATAACTGTCAGTCACAGCAGAGAAGAGAAGTCTTGTTCTCACGTTTAAATCATTCGGTTTTTAAACTGATCTGCCGCCAGCCAGGAGAGAGCAGCAGAGGTGCTCATTCTCAGGATTTTTGCATCAAATTCAAGAAGCTTCGAACAGAAAAGGTAACAGATCAATTCTTTTTAGTTATTTTGGCAACATGTGCAAACTTTATTAAGTTTGACACAAGGTTATTATTCTTATAACTCTTAAAATGACAAGTGACAAATCTAGCTACTGTTCTGGATCATAAGAAGACATGAATATTATGGTGACAGCCAATGCAGCATGACAGCTTGTTCTGAAAAGAAAAGAGAAATCTTGCACTGATTTGTTTTTGTGTGTTCATTAGGATCCCCAATAGCAACAGCATGAGCATTGGCTTTTCTACTGACCTATAGCTAAGTCACCGAAAACATCTTATTTTATTCTTAACAAACATAAACATAGTCATTATTTATTTTCCTTCATCAACAAGGTTTTTATAGCAGGAGTTAACAAAATGTCATCCTGGAAATTCCCATGACCAATGAAATCCATTTATACGGGAGGGGTCAGGGTTTCATTTTTAACTGCCACCTTTAGGATTACTTAAATGGTGCTGTCTGATCACTAAAAAGAAGCAATAGCCAAATAAAATGGGATAAGAAACAATCTCAACAAGCTTTAAACAATATTCAAGCAGCTATTGGGAAAGCATTCCATAACGTCTGTTTTGTGTTGCCATCTGACAAGATATATCCTCTGTATCTGTCTGCTAATATATGAAACACAGCCTTTGCCAAGAAACAGCTAGGGAACTTGGCAAAGTAGAACACTGTGTGTGCATCTGTTTGTGTGCGTCTGTGCATTTTTGTGTGTTTGCATGCATGAATGTGTGACAGAGCAGCTGATCTTTTCCTGGCTGTTTCTAATTTGCACATCACCATAATGTTTTACAATCCCACTTTCAGTAAGCCCCTCCTCTCCCCAGTGTAACGCAGATTTAACTCTGAGCAGACTCGAGGAGGCGCTGGGCCAGTCCCCTCGGTGATAGAGCTACAGGGAGACTTTTACTGGGTCAGATCTGTCAGTGATGTGCTGACTGACGCCCCCCCCTGCTTTTGCCCTCTTTTCCTCTGTTGTCAGTGTGATGTAAGACTGTACTGATATACTACTACTTTATAAAAATAAGTTATAAGAACATTCTGTTTTAGTTTTTATTTTAAATCTAAAAACCAGATTATACAAATACCTAAGTTAAAAACTTTATCAATAGGAACATATATGGTTGATAATAAGCACATTGCCACAATGTCTTATATATGGACATTTTCAGTATAAAGCAACTTGTTGGCAATTATCCAACGGCTTTACTGTACTACAAGGCAGAAGTTAATAAATGCTTCATTATTCTAGCTTGTTAACATAACTCATTGAATTCTAAGGAGAATGGCATCAGTTGCAGCCTTAACACAGACTGCATGAAGTCAGCGCTTGCAGTTAGTGAGAAATGACTTATGCCTGTGTCATTAACTAAGTCTGTCACTGACCAGCAATGGGTTAAAGAGCACAAATGTCTATTATTCAAATATATGAAATTGTTCTGCTGTTTGCCTGCATAACATCTGCCTCTTACTCTGGATATTAGTATGTTAGCACATATAAAATGAAATAAAAAAAATACATATATATATAAATAAGTATAGACTCATTAGATTAGACTGCAGTTTATTTAAATGTCACTCATAACAAACTGTAAATATTTGTTTTAATAAGTAAAATGTATTAGTCACACAGGCTTATAAAAAGACGAGCAAAGCATCAATCTTAGAGTCTGACAAATTCATGAACACGCATTAACGCTGTGGGCTGTCTTATTTTAGTGTTTCTTCTTAACCAGCTTCTGTGCAAAACTATCCTCCGCTTCATCAAAAGTCAGAGCCAGTACCACTACCATGATGCAAATTCGGTCCACCCACAACCTTAATGCTTTTCATTCATTCATACAGTTTCTGACACAAGAGCTGTTCTGCATGTTGATCTCCTCATAAGCTCTGAGTTACTTACATTTGTTTTCTAAGCTGTGTGGAGCAGGCACATCTCATGATGATGACTCTTGGACTTGAAATTGACAGTATGGGCCCTATATCTTGTGAATTCTCACCCTTGTGTGCCCCCAGTGTGTTTTACTATTTTCCTGCAGGGTTAAGCTGTTCCATTCCACCAAATTTAATTAGACTTAAGGTGTTGCAAATACAAACGATGACCTGGTTCCTTTGGGGTATAAAAGATGTTATTAAATTTCACTGCTGAATGAGATGTAATCCACTCCTGAATGCCATGTACCTACATGGATGTCATCCTGAGTTCAGGTCATCTTTCTCTCTCTCTCTCTCTCTATCTCTCTCTCTCTCCCTCTCCCCAATCCTTCCTGTCTCTTTGTTTCTCAGCTGCCAGGAGTAAAACTGCTTGTTACATAGTTTCACACTGAAAGCAATGCTGCTGCAAGAACTCTTGTGATTTGTGTCAGGTATTCTAACAATGCTAACAACCTGTTTTTGGTTACCTTGGGTGCCAGTATGGAGCTCTTGGCTCATGCTGTTGTACATTTATGGCAAAAATAATGAATGAAAAAGCTGGAAATACAATTGAAGATAGAACACCTAGACCGAAAGCCACTACTATGGGTTTCAAACACAAACCAAAAGTTCACTTTAAATGGCACATATAGCCTCCAGAGTTCGAAGAAAAAGAACTGGAGCAGTTGTAGACTTGTAACTCTTTGGTGGTTGAACACCAGCTGTAGCAGGCAGGCCTACTATCTAAAGCTACCCGAGCATTAGCACACTCACCGTTTTGCAAAGCAGATTTGTACAACCTGGGGGATATGTTTCCATTTGAATTTTGTCTCATCTGCTATGCAGCTGCAGTGACATGAAATCCCAGTGGCCTGCAGCTTTGCCGCAAACAACTTTGTGGGATTCTGCTTTGATGAGACACCAGCATCACCTTTAAAAATGAAATGTGAAGTGTAACACACCCACTAACCGGTTTAAAACTGCTGTCACATTCGAGAATATGTGATAGAGTGCAAAGGAGATATGGCTCACAAAACACACAGCAGCACTGAGAGCATGAGATTTCTACTCAGCTGTGCTTACACGACTTTTGTCAGGGAACTGGAACTTTCTTTGATCAATGGGGTTTTGTTGAGCTGATTCCATCTGCTTATTTTGTCAGCTGTGTGTGCGTTTGGCTTGGATCACCAAGCCAAAATACAAGCATTGTGGGTTCACTGAACTAAAACTGACTTAACGCGTACAGTCAGTGATAGCATGCTATGTTCTAATTGTGTACATGGTGATCCAATTGCTGCTTGTTCCCCATTGAGATTACTTTTACAACTAGATTTCTGAAAATTAACGTCACAGATTTTTTGCACAAGAAAAAAAATCTGCCCAAAAACTAACTCTTAAACAGGTCGCTCACTTTTCACAGCCAATCACTAAGCAACAAGGACTGATTTACCCATATCTCTATCTGCCATTTCATCCAAATTTCGCAATTTCAACTTTCAACTTGAATGAGCTAAATGGTAGCTTGTATTTCTGTCGTGGTACAGTCACATACCATTTCAGGGGTTCTTGGAGATGTGACTCTAGTAGTCTAACTGACATTTAATGTGCAGTTAGTAATTCTGTGTTTTCTTCTTTCTGACTTTCAAGACTAAGATGGAACCAGAAAATCATGCACAATGAAGTTCAATTTCATTTACTCTAATAGTGTTACAACATGGTACGATTTATTAATCTAGTAATACAAGTCACCAACAAGAGATTTTCTGATTCTTTTAAAAGGTTTTGGATCTTGCACACTTGTCATTTAGACTGGTAAAAGGTCTGTGTTGTAAATAAGTTGTTATATATGGGCTGGAGTTTAGCTTTCAATAATCTTACGGTCTGTTATCAGCTTAATTGACTGTGATGGCAAATACAGTAGCAACATTTCAGTAGATTAAAGCCACTGGGCGAAACGTTTATCATTAGTGGGGGAGATAAGGAGTGCTGTGAAGTGGCCTTTATGAGCATACTTTATTTTGCTTTGATGACAGGGCTCAATTGTTCATTCTCCATTCCAGATCTGCCGCTGGTAAATTATCAACCAGCTTTGACATGACCAAAAGGAAGATGGATAGCATCGGGCGGAGTGGGATGGTGGCACTCATACTGCTGTGTAATCTAACAAAGGTAGGACCGCCTGCATGTAATCAAGCAAACGCGCAAATACTGAAAACACACAAACACATGATAAAATATACTTTATTTAAAAGCTGTGACAGTTTATGTTGGAGAATTTTTGAAGGATTAAAAAGCTGCTTCAGGTTGGTATCTGCTGTGTAATAAATAGACTGGACATATCTGGTTGGCAATATTTCTGCATAGATGTCATATTTTCCATGAAGCGCAAATGGATTTAATGGAAGCTTGTGTATGTTAGACTCCCTTTCCTGGCGTTCTAAGTAGGCTATAATGACTGTCTTGCTTTAATACATCCCCATAGAGTCAGAATACACTGCCAAAATACACTCCAGGCACAAGCTTGCACACAGATGCTTTTCCTGAAATGAAACTCAATGTTTGCTCCAAAAAACATGCATTTAAGCTAGATTTGGAATAACACAAAATGGGGGAAACCTTTAGACATGTTCTCTTATGAATCTCCCATCAAAGCTTACTAATTGGCAAGAGTGATTAGGAACTCTTTAGGATTTAAACCTTAACCATTCAAAATAATATTTGCTCTGCTGAATTTGACTGTTGTGTAGTGTTCATGCCTAACATATATTCTGTGAGACACTGACCAGGACCTATTTGTACAAATCTCTCTTGATCAAAACAAGAACTGAAACGTTTTATTCACCTTTTCTCTCTATCCTTGCAGATTTTTGTGAAGGCAAGCCCGGAGGTCAACGAAACCCATCCAAACGTCTACCATGACATGGGAGTCACCAGGAACAAGATAGTTACAGCACAGTTTGAGTGCTATCAAAAGATAATGAAGGACAATACACAGAGCAGAGAAGGTAGCTTGTTATGTTTCATGTTTCTGAACTTTACAGCAGACTAGGCTGAATCGCAGCAAGAAGTAACTAGAGTACACTGCTGAGATACACGTAATATATTCAGGGTAAATAGGACAGCATCGGTGCTAAATAATGAATACATTTAAAAAAAAATATTTGTATATATACTTACTAGAGCGCGACCGATATGACCGATATGGGATTTTTGAAACACGGATATAGATACCAATTTTAGGGGGGAAAGATTCACCGTTTACTGATATGATGGCCGATATAGTGAATTTCAGGAATATAGGAAGAAAAATATTATAAATAAATTGTGAATGTTATGTGGACTGTGCACTGATATGACTATGCAAAGGTACTCAAAATGCTACTCTGTTAAACAAATAACTTTTATTAAAGAATATTTAAGTTAAATATTTAAACATGTTAAATAATTTAGGATATACATTGTCAACCAGTTGGCATTGCAGAGAGCTGCTTCTTCTCTCTTACTGTGTGGCTTGCTATAGTATTTTTAATCGCAGTGCACTCTGCTGGATAAACTTTGCAGTGACGCCAATATATTATCCTAAGTATTTTTTCTGGATTATATATTAAAAAAAAGTTTTCATATCAGCTCGTATCAGAAAAATATATGTAGATACCGATACAATAGCAATATTTCTGTGATAAGTCAATACTGGTGGATAATATCATCCAACTGTTATATCTGTTGGGCTACATTTATTATTATTATGATTATTATTACATATTTGACAGATCACTGACAGATCATAGCTCCTAACAACTTTTCTCTGGTTTTAGAGCCCATGTGTAATCGCACTTGGGATGGCTGGCTCTGTTGGGACGACACCAAATCAGGTGTTGTCTCAGAGCAGCACTGCCCGGACTACTTCCAGGATTTCGATCCTTCAGGTGAGATTTGTGGCTTACAGTAGTTCTAAAGGTGCGTTTGTGCCAAGCATGTTTGGTTCCAACAATTTCATTAATTTAATTTAGTATTGTACTTCTGTGAAGTGCAGGGGCTTTACAGAGACAGATCAATGAAATAATGGTCACAATCAAAGGCAGAGGCAGAGATATCCTGTCTTTTACTTTGGGTAAAGTTTATTACCCATGGCAAATAAACTCTTCATGTATAAAATTGGGCCATTTAAACTGACACAGCATGACATCTCTCTCTGTTTATGATGCTAGCTTTGGATGAGCATGTATTAATTGTGTTTCCTTTTTTGCAGTGGTTTATATGGATGAATATGTTTATAACAGTAAATTAGGTTTAATTGCTGGAAGATTCTGAGCCAAAACTTTACTACAGCACATCCTTCAACAGGATATGCACATTTATAATCAGATTCAGTCCCTCTAATCACTGCTCTCAGTAGTTTCATGAATATTAATGTGTTTGTTTGTTTCATGGAGTTTTAAAACATGATTTTAACTTCATGGGGCTACGGGGGACATCTGTTGAATCTCTTTTTAAAGTTTACTTAATTTCAAATAGCCCCCTGCGTTTTGATTTTATGTTTAACTTACTTAACCTCTAGGTTTTCTGCCTGCTTTGCTGCATATAAATACAAAAAATATAGTCTAAGATTCAGTCAACTGGATTGAAATATTCTTAAAAAACACATCACAGGTATCATTTTTACTTGCAGAGATGGTTACAAAGATTTGCACCGACAGCGGCCATTGGTTCTTGCATCCGGAGAGCAACCGGACATGGACCAACTACACCCGCTGCAATGAACACACTAATGAAGGCAGAGTGGTAGGTCACGTTATGAAATGGCATTAACAGCATATCGAATGTAAAGAAGCACTGACCTTGTAGTAGATCCCTGGGCAGTTACTATATATTTGCAGTGATGAGATTGTTTACATATAATTTTCTAAATAACACAAATGTCTTGCTCATGTTGACTGAAATGTGATTAAATATTTCTGTAGTGGGACTGAAAATGTGCAGTTTGTCCTGAGGGTGGTCCAAGACAAGAAAAAAAAAAAAAAAAAAAAACATGGGGTCATCAAGGCAATGGAACAAAATAGTCCATCCTCTGGGGATGCCTCTGGGAACCCCAAAAATGTAATGGTAATCTACTAATTACAACATATGTGGCGTGTAGGTGGAAACCTTGGCCTGAAGGCGGTGGGTGCTAGCAGAAAGGTCATGGGAATTAAACATTAGAATTAATCATCCGGAGATGGAATCTGGCCTTTGCAGTATAAAATATTCCTTAGTGATCCCACTGAATGAAAGATTGAGGGGTCACCACAATCACTGCGTTACAACCTTTAATTAACTTAAAATACACTTTTACATGAGTTCAATTTCATCTTTCCATTAATTAGGGATTAACAGTAGGAGTAAAATATATTAGCTGTCTTTAAGAGTGTTTTAATATTGTCTCGCAACATTAGCAATCATTAGAAGAGCCACATAATCACATTTGTGTCTGTTTTTTCCTTCCAGACTGCAATGAATCATTTTTATTTAACTGTCATTGGACATGGGCTGTCACTGACCTCCCTCTTCATCTCCCTCGGAATATTCTTCCATTTCAAGTGAGTCAACCAACCTCATCTTAACTCTGCTTTATAGACAGATAGTTTGTATTCTTTGCATGGATTAATAGCACCCTGATGTATTGTCGCCTTTCTCTTCTTGCAGGAGTTTAAGTTGCCAAAGGATCACACTTCACAAAAACCTCTTCTTTTCTTTTGTTCTGAACTCTGTGATCACTATCATTTGGTTGACAGCAGTGGCAAACAACCAGGAGCTGGTGCAGAGGAATCCAGTGAGTTTCTGTATTTATTGATATGTTTTTTTTTATTATCAAGCTGCATAAAAAAAAAACGAAAGCTGCACTCTTGGAGACGATTTTAATAGATTTTAATAGCTAGATTAATTCAGTTATTTCACCTAACTGTGAAAATACTGCACAGGGAAATCCACATTCATTGTGTGTGTGTGTTTTCTTCCTCAGACAAGCTGTAAAGTGTCCCAGTTCATTCACCTGTACCTGTTTGGCTGCAATTACTTCTGGATGCTGTGTGAGGGAATTTACCTGCACACTCTCATTGTGGTGGCTGTCTTTGCTGAGAAGCAAAACCTGATGTGGTACTATCTTTTAGGCTGGGGTAAGTCAGGAATAATGTGTCACTTGTCAGTCACTTGTTCTGTTGTAATAAAAAGAAATCATTTTTCATCAGACAATATCGGAGTCTCTTCATTCTAGTTTTTTAAAAAAAGATCTCATGCAACTTTGATTTTTGTTATTCTGTTATATATGTATCATTCCTATCATAAAAAATACAACTGTTCTTACCAAGTTAATTGCTGAAGTCTCAGAAGGCAGCAATATTGTTAAAAAGAAGTTCAGCAGGGCCTATTTGGAAATGAATGGTCAAATTGTTACCCACGCTGTCCGCCATAAACATATCTCACGTTTTACAGACTGGTTCACGTTTGACCACATTTTTACTATAAATGTTTGCACAGTTTTCCTGCACATTTTATGTGCATTCAGTGGGTAGATATTTGGCCTGCCATTCTTCTTGCCCTATTGGACATTTTGTTTAGCAACGCTGCTATGTTTGCAGAAATTGAAAGTATGTGATTAGTTTAAAAAGTTGTAATGAACCAGAATTGTACTTTAAAGGCTGACTCCAAGACTTTAAGCTTAAACTGCTTCTTTTGCTTTGTTTGCAGGCTTTCCTCTCATTCCGGCTTGCATACATGCTATTGCTCGAAGTTACTACTACAATGACAAGTGAGCATTCAAGGGCATGGTCTATTACAGTTAATTATGCAGTTATAAATTATATTTATATAAGTGGTAAGATATATTATATGACAGCCAGACAATAACAAAAACAATAATAAAACTGATAATAATTATATTTGTATAAATAAACATACAATGAAAAAAGATTAAACTCCTGCCTGCAAAGGGATTTAAAATGTAATCTGCAGCTGATTCTGTGAATGTGGTATAGATTATCTGCTGTTGTTGTTGTTTATCTGCATCTTGCAGACCTAAACAAAGCATTCAGTTCTAGCTCATAGCATCTTTTATCAGTCAAGCTGTTCATGCTACTTCATTTCTCAGAAATCCCATTGATCTGCATCATTGGTCCGCTGTCATGTGATGCATTGACACTATTGTGTAAACTGTTCTCTGTTGTCTTCTCTTCTCTGCTGAAGCTGTTGGATAAGCTCCAAAACATCGCTACTCTACATCATCCATGGTCCCATCTGTGCTGCTCTTGTGGTGAGAAGTTACATTATTTTTCCTGACACCAATCAATTACAGCAAATTAAACCACAATAATTTCTATGTATTTCAATGATTTGTTCCATATTTACCCCGGTTGACTGTTCTTATTGCGCAACGAGCAAAAGGAAAAAACTTATTTTGCCTTCTTCCGAGACGACACTGTGGGGGGCCTGAAATGAAGACACAGTTTCATTGCGTGCATAATTGCGTTTGTCTTGCGAAATCAATGCATCTGTCCCTCTGAGGATCCACCCACTGGTCCCCAGCGCATGTTGCATTCTAGGAATTCACCTAATCAGCATAGCTGGGCATTCTTCAGCGAAAACTTTTCCCCTAAGACTCTCGCAGGACTAAATGTTCAGCAACAACCTTTTACAATGATTTGTTCAGGTTTCAGGCCCAAAAAAGGTCTTTTTAAAACCTCTCTCATACTGGACACTTTGGGAATTCAATTATGTGGTTTCAGATTTACAGAAATCATCAGAGCAACCATTTAGGATATAGAGTATGTGCCTAAAACATTTATAGTGTTTATAGGGACTGTCATGGATATGATTTCCAACCTGTAACCATTGTAAAATACCATCCTGTTCTTTATACCTTCATACTTTTGCCTTTAACTCTCAGCTCAAAGGCTTATTTCTGTAGTAAGGTACGATTAACTGGCACATATTTATAAGGTTTTAATTTACAACTCATCCTGAGAAAGTCTTTAACCAGATGACAGCAGGTAATAGACCGAATATGATGCAAATTCATTGATTGATCCTCTCTGCTGCTTTCCTCCTAGGTCAATTTGTTCTTTCTCCTAAATATTGTCCGAGTGCTCATCACCAAACTGAAGGTGACCCATCAAGCGGAGTCTAGTCTCTACATGAAAGCAGTGAGAGCCACCCTCATCTTGGTGCCCCTTCTGGGAATTCAGTTTGTCCTTCTTCCCTATAAGCCAGGGGGACGGGTTTCCTCTGAAATATACGACTACATCATGCACATACTAATGCATTACCAGGTGAGACGATGGTCACCAGTGAGAAGGTTTGAGTTGATGGGTTTTTTAGCAGCACCTAGGCTAATGTTTTAGTTGTGATTGTTACCAGCTTTTTATAACATTTCCGTTTTAAAAAATACATAAACAGCTGTACATGACTGTATGTCAACGCCCAGAGAGTATTTTTAGAATGGTATTCAAAGTCTGTTGCATACACCGCTGTGTTCATGTGCATTTGTAAAGTCCTCTTTGTCCTTGTGACATACATAAATCATTTATTATGAATCTTGATTACATGTTACTGGCTCTAACGTCCAATGATTGAGACACTTATTTTACAAAAATGGACTTCAGTAGCCGGGATATAAACTTCATTATTTTCCTAGCTTTCAGTGAAAGCCAACCATTCCCTTCAGCCTCTGACTTTGTTTATGTTGTAGTGTAGGGAAGAACAGCAGGAAGGAAGGCATGAATTATCTGAGCTGAAAGGGGGGTGTAATCAGTTTGATGTTATTGAGCTGTTATCTGATCATCTTGTACTGTCCTAGCATGGGCAGTGCAGGAAAAACATCTTGAGCAACAGGCTGAATCCGGACACCAAATGTATAAAGTTTTTCTGCTTCAAGGAATCTTCGACCTTAAAAATATCACCTACCAAGACCAATCCCTTATATCGTCTCTCTTTCTCATGTGTTTCCTCTTTTGGATTTCAGGGTCTGCTGGTGGCCACCATCTTTTGCTTTTTCAATGGAGAAGTAAGATGGGGTTATGCCCTTTCACTATGTTTTTTTTCAGACCTGCACACACACGCACACACTCCACACTTCCCCTTTGTAATCAGGGATAGACCAGGCAATTTCCTCTGCATAACCCTCGGAGCAGGATGGTAAACTAAATGAATGTCTTGACAGGCTCAGTCCTCCAGGGCTTTGCTAAGGATTAAAGATTATTTTCTGTTGGAAAGAAGCTGTGGACAGTACACTGATTCCTATCAATTATGCAGGTGATTGATCTGCATACAAAATAGTATGTATTTGCCCGAAGTGATCATACATACAATTCAACTCTTAATGCTGTGAAAGTGGGTTAACACATAATGGAGCTTTACTGCTATGGGATATAATTTGATTCAAAGCCTATATAAAACCTCTTATAATAATCCTTATCTTATTATACACTCAAACTGTGACATTGTTATGCCTATGGATAGGAACGTAGGCACATAACATGTATTTATATAGGTCTTTGAAGCACTTTCTGCCAACCATATTTTGATCAGAGAGAATTTACAGCAAATGAGAGACATATTGATGACATTATGTGAAAACATTTTGAGAAATAGGGTAAATTTGTATGTAAGATGAGAAGCCAAGCTACATTAGCAGGTTCCCCCTTCTCCATACGTTGTTACGTATGGAGAAGGGACCGATATTGATCTTCTGACTCTTGCAAAGAGAGCAAATAAGTGTATTTCCCAAAGCATTGAATTTTTACTATAAGTGCATAAAGCAGTGTTCTGTATCATATAATGATTCATTAGCTGCCCTATTAATATGTGGAATGTGGTCTCTCTGGTTAGGTCCAGGCAGTTCTGAGGAGGCACTGGAACCAGTATCAAATCCAGTTTGGCAGCAGCGTAGGAAACCACTCAGATGCCCTGCGTTCAGCCTCCTACACGGCTTCATCCATCACCGAGGTACAGGGTTGCTACACCATTGACAGCCACACAGAACACATGAACGGCAAGGGCTTCCACGACGCAGAGGCCTCTATCTTAAAGTCAGACAGCCCTTTCGCCTGACAGCAACACTCTCCCCCAAGCCCTGCTCGCCCCTTCTCCTCCTTAAAAACTGCAGCATGTTTGGCACTCCGTGGCAACCAGGAAAACTCGCCTCTTCCTAGATACAGTGTCAGAAGCAGTGAGTGAGGAAAAAAGGATTTTATACCCAAGCTGTCACCCATCTGAAATAAAATGTCTCTCCTCTGTCACACGGACACAGGCCCTTTAACCATACTGAATGGTGAGCTCAATACAACTATTCCTGTGCTGTGTTTTGCAACTGAACTGGACCTGTGATTCTGTCAATCACAATCTTGTTGTGATCTTTCAGCCTGACAAAAATGTTTTTAAGTGGATGAATATTAACTGCTTGACTGTCCTTTGTGAGGTCATGTTGTGCACAAAACGCCTTTGGTTACACTGTAAATTCTATTGACATGGTTAGTGCCAAACTAAGAAACCCTTGCCTGCCTCATTTATTTTTTATATTCATTACAGAATTAGAACGAAGATAGGACGTCCAACAGCTGCATAATAATATATGAAAACTATATTAACATTATCTTTCACATGTTAAACTTAATTTATCTGAACATATTGTCATTTATTAAATGAAGATGAGATAAATACCACACAGTATTTATTAAAGATTTTTCAAAATTGTTCAAATACCAATATGACTTGTTGCCAGCTTCACATAAAATTCCAATGTAGTTGTTCAATGTTTGTTTCAGTGTTTGTTTCTATGTGTGCAGTTAATGTGTGCAGACAATTTACAGAATCATACCATTAGCTTGCAGGCTTCATTTTTAGAGATTTCATCATGCTAATGTTTGAGCATGTTTAAGTGATCCTTACTGACATGTGCACCCTTTAAACCACATGGTAGGTTGTAATGTAACTTGTTAACACAATATTATCACAAGAAGCCATCATGATATCTCATGTACTCCAATGTCTACTCATTACACAATTGAATGTAACAGTGAAGTTTGAAGACCTGGTTATGGACATATATGCATCACATTCCCATTCACTGCTGTCTTTAGCCTTACTCTTCTCAAATGACTTGCATAGAACCAATATACTGTATAAGCATTTCCAGGTGTTCAGACTGAAAACAGCACTGTGTTAAAAATGCAGAGGACTGTGTTAGTGTGCATAAAAGTGAGGAAATTAAATTCGATCTAGAAGCTTAGTTTGAGTGATAAATCCATGACTTTTAAAAAATCAGTTGAGATATTCCAAGTCCATTTTGATACTCACCTTTGAAAGAGTTACTGTAATAATTATTTTTGTACTAGCTGCTTTATTAGTCCCTTTGTAGTGCAGAAACATTTTTCGTCATAAAATCTACAGTGAATAAGTTCAGCCAAATCTAATATATATTTAGCCAAATCAAGTGAGTATTTCCGTGCTAGCTAGTTGTGTGTTGGTTTATTGTTGGTGGATTTTTTCTGGGAAAACACAAAGGGGGGGTTTCGTAATAAAAGGGACATAGCTTAAGGCGATACCCAGCTTATTTTGGCTTACCTTTGGCTGAAGATTGTGGATTTTGCACATTGTGTATCTTATCATGCACAGTTTATTCAGGCTACAAATGGAATGCTTCACAGCTGAAAAGGAGGAACCATTACAGTGACCAACAAACCTTTAAACAAAAATGTACGGATTGCTGTAACCTGCTGCGACAAAGCAGTGACCTCATTGAAATGAATGAGGGAGCTGTTTTGTTTTGCACACAGTGCTAATGTCAGTCTGAACACAGCCTTATTCAGAAGTACATGTGATGATATTATCATGTATCATTAGAAGAACAAAAACAACAACAACAAAAAAAAACAATAATAATACTGCAAAAAACATTCTTTGTAAAGCATTTAGCTAAAGCGGTCTGTATCTAGACCTGGTCAGAAATCATCGCACTTACTCACAGTCATTCATCCACCCAGACCCAAAACCTTTCTTTACCTTTTTTCTTCATTTGACAACATTTTCAACACATCATCCACAATGCTGGGAACATAAATCACTATCAGATGATGTAAATATTTTGTAAATCTAGCATTTCTGAAAACAGGATAAGTTGAACGTGCGTGTGTGTGTGTGTGTGTGTGCATGATTTATACAGTATTTCTGAGTACATTTTACTTTATTCAACCATGAAGCAACCGTCTTATGTGACAGTGTGTGGGACGTTGATAACGACGTTTTTTGTTCTACTTCTGTGTTTTAAAAAGGGAGGGGTGGGAAATGGGTTAACTAGCTTGCAACAAGCTACTTCATCCGTCTGCCTGTGCATATTATTTGCCATCATCCAGATTCCTTGGTAGATTCTGTCACATTTCTTTTTTTTCCCTATGTTTGAAAGTGAGGAAAGAAAAAGTACCTCTTCTTTCTGTCTAAGTGATCCGTGCCATATTGTCAGTTTTTTCACATTTTCAATGTTCATTGTTTTTTCTTTATGTTTCCTATATATTTTCTTTAACCTGATCATTTCAGATACACAGTCCAAAATTACCATCTTCCAACAAAATGTCTTGGATTAGTCAGCCTTCATATTGCTTGCTTAATTTTTTTTATGATAATTTTTGAATGTCTACATTTTCTCATCAGTCTCTAATACAACTGTGATGACTTAAAGTGCTTGATTCTACACACAACAGGAAAAGTGACACATTTTAAAGAAACTTGTATATTATTTTCACTTTTGAAAAAGTATGCTTGACTGCTATTGTTTGAGGTAAATTTCATATATTCACCGTGTTCTAGCAACAGGTATTATGTGAAATCAGGCTGCTGTATCACACATACAGTTTGTACTTTTTATGTTAGATCTGCGGGACAGTTTCTCCATTTAATCACTAACCATAGAGCCTACTTTTATGGCTGCAAGTGATTCATGTACAATGACAGCATTATAAAGTCTTCATAAATCAAGTCCTTTACTGTGTAGTGATGCATCATAATCATTTAAGCCGCAGTCATTTTATCACAATTGTGGAAAGGCCTTTTGGCAAATGTAGTAACTCCTATGTACCTTTTAAGTTGTGTATTTATGCGTGATTTTTTTTCCATATGACTCTCCAAAAAGTTTGTGAAGTCCCAAGTGACATGTTGTAAAGTATGACAAAAGCGTTATGGACAATGTCTGTAGTTTTTGTTAATACTGTACTGTATTTAACTTTGGTAGTCTTGACACATTGACTCCACACTGCTGTTTGAATGTAACTGGTTGTGTATTATTCTCTTGATGTGAAAAACATATATATATACAGTATATATATATATATATATATATATATTTACGTACAGTGTCTCTTTTTTTATTATTTCACTGAATTAGACAATATTGTTTTCCTGTGTGTATCTGCATACTAATACAGTACAGAACAGCACCAGCCGTCAACTGTGGTACTTTTATTTTAAATGTTTTGTCTTAATTGTGAAACTACTATATATATTGCTGCACACACACACTGTCACACATTTTATTATAATTTTCCTTTGGACTTTTTGTGAAGGTTGGTCCAGGCCAAGTATACTGAATTGCTCAAGTTTCATGTGTAGAGAAAAAAAACATTGCTCATCTGGTAGCAGACTTAACTGCGGTGCTGGAGCTATAGACTATCAAACTCAATGATGAAAAGCATCCGCACACTCAAATATGTGCAAATATATTATTTATTTTGCAGGATTTCATTCAGAGAACTTCAGAATTGTGTAGCAAGTGAAATCAGCAGGTTAAAAGAACATTGCTTTATTAGCCTCAATGCAGAACACTTGTGTCAATCAGTTGGGCTTGTGCGTCAAAAATTGGTCTCTGACGGAAAGTTTGCAGAATAAATAAAATTATTGTTTAGATTTGAGTGTGTGAATGCTTTTCTTCATCTGGTTAGAGTTTCATGTTTACAATGTGTTTTCAGGAAAATCTTAACTGCATTAGTAAACTACTGTAAATGTCGCAGTAAATGAAGAGCACAAACCAAATTTGTTTCAGTCCTTGTCAAAATGTCGTTACCAGTGCAGGTACTTTTTCTGGTAAGGTTATTAAAGGTCCCTTCTCAATCTTCAACAACACAAGCAAATCCATTTGTAGAATGTCATATATGTTTGTCTCACTGAGTGTGAACAATATTAGTGTCACAGTCAAGTCGTTAAGAACACAATGTAACTGATTTTTGTTGCTGGTTTAACACCTCTGTGGCTCTGAGGTCGGGCGTTGTAACGAGAAACATCTGCTGCACTGGCAGAGATTCCCCACAGTGACTGTGAAAAGGAACAAGCTAACTTTCTTTGTATGTCATTCAAATCTCCAATCCTTTTTATAGTGAGTAGTTTGAGAAAAGTCTATTAAAAAAATTATGTAATAACGAGATTACTTTACTGTGAGGAGAAAAGTTCAACAGGTCATTTAAGTGTATAGATAGATATATTGTATGGTTAGACACCTGATACATCTGGAAAAGACAATTTGCATACATTTGATGAGTTTAAATACATTTTAGCTTTTGGAGTTATGCAGCTGTACCATACTTTCTACCTGCAAGCCTGCACCTCAGCAGAATATTGTCATTTTTTCTCCTTTTTTCTTCAGTGCATATTTAACCTTTTATTTATAAGTTGCATATTTATACATAAATATTTTCACTTAATACTGTACAATGACCCTACAGGTCACTACACAGGTGGTCGGATATACTTAATATATACTTATATAAGACATAATCAAGGTTTAAGTCAACACAGTACACATTGCAGGATTTTACTATTTTAGTCTCTCTCATCTTGACCTTTTGAGGACTTTCCACCTTTTGAGGAATTTCCAAAAATTCCAACACATTATTGGCCAAAGCAATAGGTGGGTGATAACAGAGTATTATCGTTTATTGTGTCATTGTATGTTTGTATCATTACAAAGTTCTTACGTGGCAATGTTCTGGCTCATGATTTACTGCTCAAATGTCTGAATAAATGGAAGTTAAACTAGCATCAGATTAATTATACATGACTTGATTTTTGTTTTCTAGTAACCAAAACAACAAAGAAAGTTTGACTGTTGGGATGAACTGTACGTCATGTGATTTCTGAATACTTTGCTAAATATTGCAACATATCTCTTATGAAATATGTGATGTCCTTCACAGTTTTGTCTACATCAGCCAATCTTAACCCTGACCCAGAATAACATTCTCACTCTTGTAAGCAGCTTTAAGCGCCACACCTCGTTGAAAGTCCTTGCACTCCACATTAATTTGGAATTTGGAAATAATATCATACATTTAAAAGCAAGACAGTGTATGACTTAACACTAAAAATACATCAATAATACTGGTACTGTAATAAATCAAATGCTTTTCTGAAATGATAAATTATTGGTATTGATTGGTCATCATGGAATATTTAGTGATGTAATATAATTTATGAAATTGTCAGATATATTGATGCAGGACTACTAGATTATTCATTAGTATAGCATATTTTGTCACTGCACATATCACCAACACACTCCACCCCCAAGCTCCAGAAACTACACCTTGGCATGTGTGCACATTCACAAACAGAGTTCCAATGTAATATTGAGTCGTCTCGCCTCGAGAATCACCTCACCAAGTGTCACCTCACAAGCAGCTCTCAGATGAGTTTAAAAGTTCATTCTCTCTAACATAAGGCCAAATACACGTTTCTAACACCAGCCCCCTCTATCCCATTTTGTCCAATTACAACTCCCTGTACCAGTCATTTACTACCGCTCCACTGCCTCCAACCAGCCTGAGCTAACATGCGGAATTTCTTATGACCCTTATCTAGCTTTTCAGCATGTGTAAGCTTAGATCTAGGTCAGTCACCTTAGCAAAAGTTGTAAAGATGTAAGATTTTCACTCAGTAATGAAAATGTTTGAGGCACACATTTCCTGCAGTTCTATGTGAACAGACATTTTGTGTCTTTTTCTCTACTGCTGGTGGCTTGTCTCCCTCTTACGTGACCTGAATAAGTAAGGCTGCACACACCACTGGCTGGTGAATAGCTAGGAGAGGCTGCTTTAGGGCGCTGTCGCCTGCACTTAGCCTCAAAAGCAGTGATACATTGTATGCTGCACAAAGTGCAACACGGGGGCTATTTCAGTATAGGGCTATTGTTCTCTCATTTACACTTTTTGTCTGGAGTGAGATGTTTTTCCCCCACACAGATATATAAACCCAGATGAGGATTACAGTGCTGCAAATGATCCCTTAAAATATTCCAACAAATGCTACTTTAGAATTGAACATTTGTTCTACAATTCTGTTGAGCACCTTTAAAAATAAGAAATTGCACCCTTTTATCCAAGCACTGTCCCTTATACTCTATAAAGATACTAGAGTGGAATTTGAGTTAGTCAAAACGTAAAGCACATTTTAAAATTTGACTCATAAAGTCACATATGTTAGCTATTGCGTGCTATCAGCATGCACCAACGATGTGCAGCTAATTTGCCTGAGATTGTGACAAATCAAACTATGATCTCAGAATTCACTGGAACTAGAACCCTTCCTTTCCCTCCAGGTGCTCTCCTTTTCCATCTCATATCTATGTGTTTGTGGGGTAGATTCATAAATCCCTACAATAAGCGCACATTTTAAAGTTAAACACCCCCTTCAGCTATGTATTAAGACACATACAAATTGGAACAATAATGTAAACTTCCATATTGAAATCCTTAAAAAGGCATCTCCTTCTATCTTATTAAAAATTCTAGGATCTATAAATATGCAAATTCTGTTCATTTTTTTTATTTTCTTGCTGGAAACAACATGTCTCCTACTTCACTGTGAAGTCCATTGTCAGTGTATGTGCACTGGCAGCTTCAAGTTTCTACATCACATTGTATGAGTTGCAAATTGGACCAGGCTTGATTTGAAACTATTTGTGATGTCACAATTCAAAGTCAAATTTTCCAACCCGGGTTGAATTTTCAGTGAGCACGGACACTTTCCACTTT